TAATTACTCCCAGAATAAATTCACATGAGCTAAGCATTTCAGGAATGTAAAATCCTATGCCCAGATGTAATAGCAACCTTATAAAGGCCATATGAAGTGGAGAACCCTCAGGGCAGGGATGGAACAGTTAGTATGATATTAGATATATATGAACCACATGCAATTGCTTCTTCCAATTTATTTGTGAAAAGCTAGAAAATAGTAGCAGCACTTTGCACGATAGGTACATATCCTTTCCATCTGTTTTTTTTCCAGGTCCGTTTGGTCATTGCAGAAAAAGGATTACCTTGTGAAGAACGAGATGTGAGCATGCCATTGACTGAGCACAAAGAACCTTGGTTTATGCGCCTCAATCTTGGGGAAGAGGTACCTGTCATCATCCATGGAGACAATATCATCAGTGACTACAATCAGATAATTGACTACATGGAGAAAACCTTCACAGGAGGTAAGGTTTTAGAGATCTTTCCCCAACTCTCCAATTGACAACTTCCATCACCTTGAAATAGCCCAGCCATTGATGGGGTGTGTTCGATCTTATAATCTAGTGTATTAAATATGGAGGATACCAGGTGTGGAAAATTGTTCTAGAAATTCAAAGAAATTGAAAGAATTCTATGAGACTGTCAGTGCATTAAATGCTTGCTATTTGATTAATCATCTTTTTTATAATCAACCTCTTAAATCTTCCTACATCTGTATTGTTGTTGTTGCTGCTGCTAGTTGAGTTTGAATCACTTATAAATTAATAATTATAAAGTAATTAATTAAAACTTATCACTCATCGTGAGAATACCAGCTTTTTTTCCTGGAGCTGGAAATATTTTTTTTCTTTTTAATTTTGTTTATTCTATAGCTTACATTAAAATTTCCATACCTTTCTTACTGAATAAAGGAAACAAGTGAAGTATAAATCAGATAAATAAATAAAATGGGATTAAATGGTATTTTAGAATGGCAATAAAGCTTTCTGCTAATTTTTGGTACTCAAGGTTAGAGGATACTCTGAGGATTGCAAAATGGGTTGAGAGATTTTATTATTATTACTATTATTGTTGGTTGCACAATCAGCCATATTTTAGACTGGATTTGGCATTTTGATCTACCTATCGAGTCCTTCCCAAGGACCTAGGATAGGCAGATGTTTTTTG